AGGGTGATGCTTCTCAACACTTTGCCATACTTTCAGCATTTTTCTTATTTCGCCAGAAGATTGTAGCTTTTCTGTTACCTCCTCCTCCTCCTCTGACAAACTTTGCTCCAAAACTTCTTGCTGTGAAACACAATGCAACTCTATAAGCTCTTGGGTGGTCAGTTCTTATCTCCCACAAGCTTTTCGATATCACTGTTATCCACTTACAATCCTATGATAGTGGCCAAAAACACAATCCCGTTGACTACAGGTTCCACAGGTACTGTCTCGAACCCCTCAAAGTCACAAATCGACAATGCTCTTCGGCCAAAGCTTCTTCAAAGCAAAAGTAAGGGTTCTCCTCGTGACCCCTTCCCCCGCCATGTCGATCATCTTGAGGCAGGCAACGATGTGGAAGTGATTTTTCCAAAACTCTTTGAGAGTGAGGTTGGTTCCTTCAGTCACCTGAAAACGATGCTCGAAGAGTGCTTTAGTGTAGAGCTTCTCAAAGTTAGAAATAACTTGCTGGTCCATGGGCTGGAGTAACGGAGTGGTGTTGGGAGGCAGAAACTGGATCTTGATGAACTTAAATTCTTCAGGGAGGTCATCTTGTAGGCCTGGAGGATTCATAAACATATATCACAATTTAACTTAAGTTTGAGAAAATGTGTGATTACAAGCGTCATGACGATGCTACTAGAACGAATGCTAAACACAGACTGATGTAACAGAATCTGGGACCTTCCCTCTCCTCGCCACTCGTTATGCGAAACGTCGCTGGTTAAGCACGTCATTCTTTTACAATTTGTTTTACTTGTTATGCGAATTACTCGTTACGAGAAGTGCTCGTAAAGCAAGGTTCTACAGTATTTATGAAACAAAAGGCACTTGATTATATATTAAGAACACATTCTGACCAAAACGCACCGCTATACTATATGTTTCTCTTGTGGCGAAATCTAGGCAGGTGTGTTGCTGAAAAAAAATATCGTTACGTTCAATAAGCATTCCCGGAAGGGGAGCTTTAGGCTATAATTGTGACTAGTTTATGTTCGCCATTTAATATGGCTTAGCACTGCAGGCCATCAAGAGCCCTAAAAAGGACTCATGCCGTGTTGCTTCAACTAAAGGAAAGAGACTAAAATACTGTCCCGACGGGCGACGAGCTCGTCTACTGGCGAGCCAACGGGCGACCCGGTTGCCGATATGTGTAGCGGAGCCTAGTTTCTTCCTTTTTTTTAAAAAATGTTGCAGGAGGTGCGGGACGTATGGGTCCTGCAAGATACGTGGGTTTGCTGTTTTAAGACCTGGCAAGATTAAGCTTCTGATAATAGGCGGCCTTTGCAGGGTAGCCAGTAGCATAAGAATCATGTCTTTTTGTTTACAGAATTCAGGGCGGAGGTAACAGAACACGGCGTCTTCAAGAAATCTTAGCGTTTTACCATGGCTGACGTATAAAGGATTTCATCGGCATTGTAGCTGCTTACAATGTGTCCAGATTTTAACAGATGGCGTGCTTTTGTAAAGGAATGGTCTTTACGGTCGGTATTCATTTTGATTTTGCATTGCTTATTACACACCTAATATAATATGCTCATCCACTCGTTTCTCCGGGTGTCGATCAGTTCTGCCCACGTAAGCAGATTCACAGCTGCATTTAAATTGGTAAATACAATTTGATCTGGTGTACGTCGACATTAGTTGTTTCACCTAGGGAGTTGGCACGGTGTGTCTTCTTTTTTCAAATATGCAACGGTAAAACATTGCGTTTATTATTACCGTTATGCCAAATCAATAAAAATAATTAAATTGTAAATAATTCTTTCCAAATTCTAAAGTCGGTATACAAATAGATCAGGGAGATTATGGTTGTGACTTGTTAGAAATTAATTGTTGAATTTGGTGATTTGACAATTATCTGCTCTTTTTTCTGACGCTAGTGTGAAGTGATGATGTTCGGTGCAACCAGTAATGAGAAGAGTATCAAGCGATACGAACTAATTAATGCGTTAAACTTTGATGTGCCGCCTTGTTTAACGATGAAAGTACTCAAATGATAGACATATATTTCATCTATAACTAATGATGTCAACGTTTTTTGTGTATCTAAATCGTTACCTACCGACTCGTTGCGTCGTTCGGTTTTTGTTCAACTTCCGTCAAGCGACAGGGAAAGGACATTGATTTGGTAAATAATCTATTATGCTACTTACTTCTCTGTAAACATACAGATTTAATTTTTCGTTGGTGACGACTAAAACGTCAGTAAGAATTCTGAATTTAATTCGACTTTAGTCAGGTCGTTAACATTGATCGACTGAAGGAGTCATTTGCACACAACACGAACATCATCACTGCAATTAGTTTTACTATTGACTGCAGGATATTTTACATTTGCATAAACGCGTTTCAATTAAATCTGGCCTTAGATAGATAGATGGCCGTGATGTACGTTTAGCTGGTCACTGATGGCTCATCTAATGCAAGCATCATGCTTGGATATCTTTATTTATGTCCCCTGTATGCCATGCGGCTAAAGCGTTGATGACTTTGTCTTCTCCTTGCTCTGTTCCCATCAGGCTTGCCAGTTGTCACCATAGAAGCCTAAATCTCTTCATAACATGCCAGAAAAGCTGGACTGTATACGTATAATTGCTCTAATTAATTTTACCAGTTTATGTTTGTGAAGTTACCTTCATCTTTGTCCCGGGTATGAGGGTGTTGTTGACAGTAAAAAAGCTAATGGATTGAGTGACTTTAGTTGCAGATTCCCGGCCTATGGATCACGCCACCATTGCTAATAAAGTTAGAGGGGTAGGGCCAGCTAAGCCTTGTTGGATAGCGTGTCTACATCAGTGCTAAAAATACGATTTTTATAAATAAGTTAGACACAGCCAGGCCGAAAGGCTCACAGAGTGCACACGAATTTTTGTTAACCAGCTTAGGACTGGCACTTTAAACCACGGGACACTGATATGTGTGTTAAAGGGGAAATCCTGGTCCATATGGACGTGTCCAAAGTTCCATGAATAAAATCCAACTCATAACTCATCTGTGTCACTCACTAGTCCTAACTTTCAGTCCAACTCCTAATTCAACCGTGTCATAGACCTAATTATCAGTGCAACTCATAACTCATCTGTGTAATAAACCTAATTATAAGTGGAACTCATAACTCGTCTGTGTCACAGATCTAATTATCAGTGTACATCAAAACTCATCCGTGTCACACATGTAATTATCAGTGCCACCCACAACTCATCTGTGTCACATACCTAATTATGAGCCCAAATTCTTAGCAAAAGTAGAAATCAAAATTAGTACATTTCGAACGCTCGTATTACCCAGCAAATTCTGATGACATAATTTACTAGAAGCGAAGCAGAGGGGGTAATTTGTAATAGAGGAAAGGAAAGAGATAACTTTAAAGGATAATATGGAAATCTACTCCTTGAAATCTCATCGACTCTGAACTTACAAAAGCTCTTAACAATGTCACGTGGCGAGTGAAAGCCAAAACCCAACCCTAAGCTGCCTCAGTAAGAAGTAAAAAAAAAAAAAAAAAAAAAAGTTCGTTTAGGCGGGGTAAGATCACAAATATCTCACCATGATAGGAAATCTTTTGTGTGGGGTCTAATTTAGTATAACAGTAAAAACCTAGGCACACGAACTAAAATAACGAGAATGTAAGTCGACAAATGCATGAAACTTTATTTACTTAATGACATATAACAATAATACTTGACACACTCGAACACTAAGTATGTCAAGTTATACGAGCAGACCAGCAGAAAACTAACCAAGCAACTATTAAACTATTGAATAACAAAATACTAACAGCTACTAGCAGACCAACAAATCACTTTTAGCGATCTGCCATCAAACTTTCTCTTAGCGAGGATATACAATGGAAATCAAATCTACCACCACCTAAACAATTGAAACTTACTGTGAGATCAGCCAGGGAAATCAGCAGACAACGGCCTTCCCCTGCGATTGCCATACCTACGCTATCCAGCCCAAAGTGCAAGGCTACGACAGCCGCGTAGGTCTCCACAGGGTCCGTCCGGAAGTCTAAGAGGAGGCAAATACTGAGTCAATTCCTTTTTATACCTAGTAGCCAGATGTTTCCCGCTTTTTATTGTCTAAGACTAAAAGCTGTTCCTGTGGCCTCTTAGTCATTAAAAAAAAAAATTAAATAAAATCGTTGAGCTGCTAAACAGTAGTTTTCCAGCCTATTACAATAAGATGACATAACACATCAATCATCCGTTCCATGAAAGACGGCCATACGTACATGACCAGCTCTTTTGAGATATAGGTACTCAAGTCTCTTCTAAGCATGATCAGAGACAGTAAAAGTAAGTAAAGGGCCCTTTCCACGCCTTCGTGCGTATTGGGCTTATAGGACTGGACCTATATTTTATGAATCAGTGGGCACTTGGTGGCTGTTGTGGTCAGCACCAGGTCCGAATTATGAGATGGAAGTTACGAAAATTGTTTCATAATTGTATGGTATCAAGTTCGATTAATTGCACTCGACTTTGCAGCAGCAGACTAGTTTGGTATGTCTCCCCCTCACCCCACCCCCCCCCACCCCGTTTTTTTCCAATCCGCTCCTCCCAACAATATATGCGTCAGACCGTACATAAAGCAACAACAAAATGCCGAAGGTAATATGGCCTAGTAAAACCACAAATATGCAACAAAAAGTGGCACTTGTTTGTGAGACCCTTTAATTATCTTCAGCAGTTACTGCGTCATTTTAGATTTTACGACAGAGGGTATAATTATTTTTCTTTGCTTTTTCCGTTTACCTTCCTGAAGGGTTTGGTGGAGGAATCATCTAAGGCAGTTACTTGGTCATCTTTTGAATCTGCGAATCTATTATACCTACCATAGTGTTTCACATATAGATTTTCGTGTATCCTTGATGAGACAGGTATCAGACATTCGGAGACACATTATGTTCCAAACCCTATTACTAGCAATGAACAGCACTTTTATCAAGAATGTGCCAGATGGAAGCTGTTACTCCTCATGCAACAGTATTACATGTTGTGTCCAACCCCAGTAGTCTAGTCAACGAGAACATTCAGTACAGTCTGCGGGTACTGACCGACACATTCGTCAAAACAATCATCTGTTTCATCGGCGTTGGGACCAACATTATTAACATTATCGTTTTCACGCAGATTGGACTCAGAGACAGCGTCACTGTTGCCTTCTTTGGTCTGGCTTTTGCCGACTTTGGTTTCGTGTTCTTCACATTAATTTACCAGGTGTTGGAAAGTTTGGATCTGTTCGTCGGGCTTCAGCCAGAGATAAGCCTGAAACATCTGTCCTATTTTGTCAACTACATCGCCTTCATCTTTGTAGACATTTCTATTTTAATTACTTTGTTTACTTCTCTCCAAAAGTGCGCATGTGTGGCTATTCCCTTTCTGTTTAAAAAGATATTTACGTATCACCTTTCCAAAGTGGTGGTTTCCACAATGTATGTGATAGTGATACTATACTACATACCACTTTTAGTCACCAGCGTTCTCGTTCCCAGATTTGACAGAACAACTAACAGAACTCGCTACATGCTTCCATCAGACAGGCTACGTGATCGAGTTCTGGACGTCTTCGAGATTGTCAACCGTGTCCTGCTGCCTTTCGCCTCCATCGTTCTACTGACTGTCAGTTTGCTTATCATGAACAGGAAGCTCGTAGAAGCTTCGAGAATCAGACAAGCGATGACAAACAAAACAAACAGTGCCCCGAAAAGGGGAAACACGGTACACGAGAATAGCTACCTCAGTTCTAATGAACTGAAAGTCATCAAAGCAGTGGTCATGTTATCCGCCATATTTGTGGCCTGTAATCTGCCGGACATGGTCAGTTTTCTCACCAGCCTGGTGATTCCTGACTTTGGCAATTCGGGCAAGTTCAACAACTCGTACAGACTGGTCAGGGCAGTACAGAACGTTTTGGCTGTGATCAACTCCACAGCCACCATTTTTGTGTACGTTAAGTACAACACCAAATATCGCGCTCGGTTTCTCATTTTGTTGGCACGCTTTTGGTGCCAAGCTGATCGCAATTAACTCCTAGTTACCACAGGAATCTGTAGTTAAGTATACATGACCAAACGAGTTAATTTGACAGTAATACAACCGTAGTCTATAAAGGAAGCTAGTTCTACCTATTAGTTATGTTCAGTCAGAGCTAACTGATCTTGTACTTTGGCGCCGATCTTTCTTCTTCTTCTTAGCGTAAACTCCGAGAAGAAAGTGCGTGCTGTTGGTCCACGTCTGGACTTTGGTTTCGTCCCAGAACCCATGTTTCACAGGCACATCTGTTATTCAGACAGAAGCACTGCGACTTGACAGGAAATAATATACTTCACAATACTTCAGTTAATGTAGTTCCGGCAGAGCAAGAATTCGGGGGATGAAGCCGTCGTCTGTGTCAATCAGCGTAATACTTTCACGAGCAGCAACTAGATTTAATTGATCACATATGTATTTAAAAAAAGTTTAGATCATCCCTTTACGATGTTAGGGCTTTTAGAGGTGCCGATGTATTTACCGACCATTTCCTGGTGGTAAGTAAAATCAAGTTGAGACTAAAAAATATATAACATCTTATAATCATAGAAACCAATACAAAGTAGGTAATCTCAGGGATAAAGAAGTTAAGGAACAGTTTTCAGTTACAGTCTCTAATAAGTACCAGATGTTGCAGCAGTTAGCTGAAGATGTCAGCACAGAAGTCTGCTGGGATCAGATCAAAGGAATCTGGAATGAATCTTGCGTAGAAGTTTTTGGCAAGAAAAAACGGAAACATGAAGCGTGGATAACACCAGAAAACATTAAACTGACTAAAGATAGGAAAAGCAAAAAGGCAGACTTAAACAATAGCAAAACTAGAGCTGCTAAAGCTAGAGCTCAGGATAAATACACTGAAGCGAATAAGGAAGTTAGGAGACGTAAAAGGGCAGATAAAGTTAAATATCTAGCTCAAGAAGCGGAGACAGCAGCAGCAAATGGAAACCTCAGAGAACTTTACAGTAACACAAGAAAATTAGTAGGTAAATATAGTCAGCCAACTGGATCAATCAAAAATAGTCAAGAAAAGGTACTTACTAACACTAAAGATCAAATGGACAGATGGGTTGAATATTTTGAAATGCTTCTAAGTAGACCAGGTCCAGAGGTTTCCCCGGATATCCAGCCTTTAAAAATGGAACTGGATATCAACTGTGAGATAACATCCAAAGAGGAAATTAGAAAAGCTATTAATCTTCTCAGCTGAAGCCATCAGGGCCAACACAGACACAACAACAGAATTGCTACATAGATTATTCAGTAGAGTCTGGGAGACATAAGAAATACCAGCAGACTAGGGAGAAGGATATCTTGTGAAACTGCCTAAAACAGGTGATCTACGGGAGTGTGAAAACTATAGATGAATTATGTTGCTGTCAATTCCTGGAAAAATATTGAGTAGAATTATTTCGGAAAGATTAAAAGATGCTATTGATAAAAAGCTAAGAGATGAACAGGCAGGTTTTCGGTCAAACAGCTCCTGTACTGACCAGATAGCCACATTACGTATTATAATAGAGCAAAGCATTGAACTGAACTCATCACTTTACATTGGATTTTAGACTATGGAAAAGCATTTGACAGCATCGACAGGGAATCTCTCTGGAAATTGATGGGGCACTATGGAATCCCACAGAAAATTATTAACTTAGTAAAGGCAACAGATAAAGCCATGAAATGTCGTGTTTTTCATGAGGGAAAGCTAACAGATACATTTGAAATAAAAACAGGTATGCGACAGGGATGTCTTTTGTCGCCTCTCTTATTTTTACTGGCTATAGATTGGATTATGAAAACAGTAACTGCTAACACCAAGAATGGAATTCAGTGGACCCCTACAAAACAGTTTGATGATCTGGACTTCGCTGATGATATTGCTCTTTAGTCCCATTTACGGAATCAGATGCAAAATAAATTAAATATACTTGATGCGAGATCACAGCAGCTTGGTCTGAAAATCCTTAAAGGAAAGACAAAGAGAATAAACCAGGCAAATAGTAATGTGGTTTCTCTTAATGGCATCCCACTACAGGACGTGGAGTCATTTGGACAGTAATGTAGATAAAGATGGTGGAACTGATAGATATTAAAATGAGAATACAAAAGGCAAGAGGAGCTTTCATAGCACTAGGGAGTTTGTGGAGGTCAAAACAAATTAAAAGAAATACTAAACTAAAATTTGTTAATTCTAATGTCAAATCAGTACTTTTGTATGGGGTGGAAACATGGAGAACAACCAAGGCAATTACTAATAAACTACAAACATTCATTAACTGGTGCCTGCGCAGAATAGAAGGAATTAAATGGTATGATAGAATAATTAATGTAGAGCTTAGGGGGAGAACTAAACAGGCTCCAGTGGAACAAGAGGTGAGGCAAAGACGCTGGCACTGGATTGGACACACACTGAGAAAACAGGAGGACAGTATAACCAGAATGTCTTTGCATTGGAACCCACAGGGAGCATAGGAATAAAGGAAGACCAAAAAAAAAAAAAACCACGGAGAAGAGAGCTGGAGAATGACGTTAGAAAGATGGGAAGGACACGGGGAGAGCTCCATGCAATGGCGAAGGATAGAACGACTTAGCGTTAGTTGGTTGAGGGCCTGTGCTCCATTGGGGGAATAGAAAGGCAGAAGAAGAAGAAGAAGAACTTGATTGGGAGATTTGCTCAGCGTGTGAGAACAACTATGTTTAGTTCTGTTCAGACTACTAGCATTGTGCTCCGGTCCCGCCCATAGTTGCTTTGCTGCAGCGGATAAATTCATCAGAGTATAGCGAATACGTGAGTTAGTTCCATATTTATGAACTAGTTGTGGTTTTTCTTCTTCTTCTTCTTCTTCTTCTTCTTCTTCTTCTTCTTCTTCTTCTTCTTCTTCTTCTTCTTCTTCTTCTTCTTCTTCTTCTTCTTCTTCTTCTTCTTCTTCTTCTTCTTCTTCTTCTTCTTCTTCTTCTTCTTCTTCTTCTTCTTCTTCTTCTTATTCTTCTTCTTCTTCTTCTTCTTCTTCTTCTTCTTCTTCTTCTTCTTCTTCTTCTTCTTCTTCTTCTTCTTCTTCTTCTTCTTCTTCTTCTTCTTCTTCTTCTTCTTCTTCTTCTTCTTCTTCTTCTTCTGCTTCTGCCTAAATATTGTGGGTAATTTTTGATGTGTTAAAATTTTAACTCAATTACACTGAAAGACTTTAAATTACAAAAGAAAGAATGTGGACTGATGTTAAAGCCGTCTCTATAGAAAAAACTAGATGAGCTTGCTGTGAATACCAAATGTGTCATGTATCAAGAAATAGGGGCTGAACTACCAGAAGAAGCTCTGTAAAGGCTGTTTATGTTTTGCCACCGTCACCTGCGCCAACATAGTAAAGGCAAAAAGGTCCTCTCTAGGTTTTCGAAAATATATGGTGCTAGACTGATCACTTAGCACTAGATGAGTGACGTTAATATCGTGTCGTCCGTCATTACTTCCCAGACATTTCCTCTTCTAATTTTTTAAAACCTCATATACAAGACATGTTTCACAATTAAAACAAAACCACTTGACTAGCAGGCTTCGGTTCTCATCACTTTTCTTTATGACCGTGAAACTTAGCCGCACCAAGAGGAACCGTTTGTTAGCTCCACACGCAATGTCTAAGAAGATTACTTCACATTAAGCAGCAGGACAAGATTCCCAAATACTGAGGTACTTGAAAGGCCGGGTATTACAACAGTTTTCTCAACGGTCAGTCTCCCAAGGCTCAGGTGGCTGGGTCACACCTGGAGAACGGAGGATAGTAGAATCCCCAAAGATATCTTCAATGGGGAACTACAGACGGAAAGAAGATGTCCAGGCTTGTGTATGCTACGATATAAACATGTGTACAGGCGGGACATGAATGATACTGGTAATGAGGTAGATTTGTAGGAGCTAACTGCCATGGAATAATTTGCATGCAGGTTGACAAATTATAAAGGAAATACGCTGGAAGAAAAAGTTGATTGCAGAAAGGTTGTAAACTGAGCGTCAGAAAATAAACAATCTAAACACATGTGATAACAACAATGGTCCTGAAATCCATGCTCTAATTTGTGGGAGGCTTGTCCTAACACTAGCAGGTGTTGCAAGCCACACTCGCCATCACCACGGGCTGTGATCTCTGTTCCTCTTCAAAGCACGTTATAACAACATCATCTAGACAAGCAGAAAGTTGCCAACAAATACAGAATATAGTTAAACAAAGAAGACTGACTGTAGTCTAAATGGCAAGTCCACATTGGACTACATGTAACGGTTTTATAATATCTGAGAATTACTGTGTTCTATGACTGTGTGGCTGAATCTGGTTGAATCTGGTTTCTCAGATCTATACCTGTTTGACTCTCTTCCTTCAGATGTTAATACTGCTAAATGCAAATCTGTAAGGAAAGAAAGGGAGAAAAAAAAAAGGGGGGGGGGGGGGAGAGAATGTCAAAAAATATAGCACACGAAGTCTTTCTCCTATGAAGAATTAGCTATGGAACAGAAGACACCATTGAAAACACAGTATGCGAAAATTTACAATTGTTTATTTCCGTTGGCAGACTTCAAGGAGACAGAGAGAGAGACGGGAGATCACAGTTCACAATAATAATAATAATAATGGCATCCGTCAGTCCCGGGGGACTATGGAGATGTGCCGCTGGCTTTGGGAACAGCATCTGCTGTGACTGTAAAGTCCGATGCGGGAATGGCAGTCTTTGCCACACAGGATACACACAAAAGCAGATACTCCCTCGTTGTGAGGCAGTTTTACTCTCCGGTGTCTCCTCTCCACAGCTCGTTGTGTTCGGTTACTTTCAAAATGTGACAGTCCGTCTTTCACTTTCTGTCTCTATAGTAGTCGATCTGCAGCTGATTTTTCCCATGTCTCTGTGCCTATGTTGGTATCTATTAGGTCACGTTTGCATACATCTTTATAGCGCAGCTTTGGCCTTCCTGTAGGTCTATTCCCAGTTACCAATTCACCATGTAGGAGATCTTTTGG